CTACAGAACTTAACATAGCCTTTTTTCTCCTTGTATCAATTAATATGATGAATTATTTTAATAGAGTTCATAATCTTTCATTCCTGGAAGAAACCCTACTTCACCATGATATATTACTTCTTTAATGAGGTGCTGGATTCTTCCTGCTAACAATTTTCTGGAGTTTTGCATTGATATTCATAAATGAAATTGGAAATAGTTTTCTCCTTGTGAAATTTTGACCAAGCTTAGTTGTCAATGATAGTCTCACCTCATGAATATAATTTGAAGTTTGTATTCCTCTGAAAGGGTTTAAATCACATTGAAATGATCTCATTAGATAGAACGTAATATACAAATGATGCATATCGTAATAACTAGATAACAATAGCTAGAATAACAACTTTAAAAAGATACATGTAATATTTCAGGTATCAAATAAGAGTAAAATAATATTAATTAACAAATTAGTAGAGGAAAAGGTGATAATAAAAAGTTGATTAATGCAGAGGCCAGCCTGGTGGCACAAGCAGTTAAGTGTGCGTGCTCCGCTGTGGTAGCCCAGGTTTCACCAGTTCGGATCCCGGGCGCGCACCGACGCACCACTTGGCAAGCCATGCTGTGGTGGCGTCCCATATAAAGTGGAGGAAGATGGGCACGGATGTTAGCCCAGGGCTAGTCTTCCTCAGCAAAAAAAGAGGAGGATGGGCAGATGTTAGCACAGGGTTGATCTTCCTCACCAAAAAAAAATAATAATTGATTAATTCAAATAAAGGCAAGAAAGATGGAAAAAAGCTACATAAAGAGATGGGTCAAATAGAAAAAAATAGTAGAATGGTAGATATAAACACAACTATATTGGTAATGGGTCAAATAGAATAAAATAGTAGGATGGTAGATATTAACACAACTATATTGGTAATTATATTAAACGAAAATGGACTAAACATTCTACCTAAAAGACTAAGATTGTCAGGTTGAATTAAAAACAAAAACATAAAACAGCTACATGTTGTTTACAAGAGATACACCTGTAACATAAGGACAAAGACAGGCTGAAAGTCAATGGAAGGGTAAATACATATCATACAAACACTAAATGAAATAAGCTGGGGTAGCTATACTAAAATTGGAAAAAGCAGACTGTAAAGCAAGTAACCTTATTAAAAAGGTAAGGGGGAATTTCATAGAGGAAACAGGGAAATTCACCATCATTGTGGCTGATTTTAAAATATCTCTCTCAGAAGTTAATAGAACAACAGTAAAATAATTCAGCAAGGATAGAGTAGGTCTGAAAAAACAATCAGTAAACTTGATCTACCCAACATGTATGGTGCATTGTACCCAACAAGGGAAAAGTTCACACTGTTTACAAGTACTATTAGAATATTTGCTAAAGTTGACCATATATGTTGGACCATAAAGCAAGTCATTACAAAATTTAAAGGATTGAAATGACTCAATGTTTATTCTCTGACAGAATTCTGGCTGTGAAATCAATAACAAAAAAGATAACTAAAGAATTCTCAGTTGCTTGAAATATAAGCAACATATTTTTGAATAACTCACAAATCAGAGTAGAAATCTCAACAGAAATTAGATAAACAATAAAGATATGACATCATCATTTGACACAGAAAAAGTATTTTATTAAGGAGTGCGATTCCAGGAAGGCAGAAGGAAGTGAAAATGAGAACAAAGCAGAAAAGAGGAAAAGCCAATAGAAGAAAGTGCTGCGGGGCTGGCTATTTCTAAATGCACAGAGCTGCACAAACTGCACCTTTGTCATCACTCCCAGGCACAGAAAGGGGCAAGAACGTGTTACTAACTCCTGCATCACACTGGTCAAAGATGAGCCACACAGCTTGTTAACTTGTCCACATTTCCAAGTCAGGAGGAAGCCCAGGCAAGAAGCCCATGAGACGCGCCTGCCCCCGCCTGTCAGGATGCACCTCCCAGGAGTCCACGGGAGCTTCTAAGAGGTGGCTTATGCTCCTGTCCTGAGCTCCTCCAGCTTCATCACCGAGAGCTGCTACGGAGGAACACAGCCTCTTGCTTCTAATGCCGTTCCCTCCTTTTTGAAAGATGTGCTTTCTGAAATCTGCCACCCATGGAGACAAAGAATCTTTCTCCATCTCTCCCAGCAATGATTCCCACTCAGAACAGGGCTTTTTCCTCCTTGGAGTACTTATCTGCTGATGATTGCTGACATCTGTCATCACTGAGCCCCCTCCATACTCCCACTCCTCAGTGTCACTCCAGCAGGGCCTCCTGCACAAATTCTGCTGGCCTCAGTTGCTTTTGCCTACACTGATACATGTTTTGAATTTGATGGCTTTTCACTACCTCTGGATTTTGCTATAAACTTCATTTGTGGGTCTCCCTGACATCTCATTCTATATGATTTTCAAGAGGAGAATTACATTCGGCCCAAATAACAGTCCTATTCACCATGGAACCAGGAAGGATGGAACCATGGAACCAGGAAAACTGTTAAATGTCAGCACTGGTGAGGATGCAGTGTCACCAAGACTCACAAAGAGATGACAAAGGTGTAAATTTGTACATATCTTCTGGAATATGTGTGGAGCACCATTAAAATATTTATAACATCAGACATCTTAATTCCCTTCCTAGGAAAGTAGCCTAACAAAATTGCCAGAAATCTGGACAGAGATTTATTCAAAAACATATTTGCTGAAGTATTATTTTTAATAACCACAAATTAATGAAATCATAATGGATTGGATCCATTTTTAATCGGAGTATTATATATGCATTGAAAATTAATCTTTACCTATGTAATGTCATAGGGAAATGTCACAGTTTGCTGTTAAAAAAACAAAACTATAAGGCAAATTTTCCATCTTTTTCATATCAACCATGTACAAAAAATAACCCTGGAAAGAACCATGCAATAAATTGTCTCTTAGTAATCGCATTACTGGCGATATTTTCCCACTTCACACTTTTCTGTAGTTGTCACTCTTGCTATAATGAGCACATATTACTTTGATAAGCAGAAAGATAATACGAAATAAAATTAAAAGCTTGAGACAAATTGAGTTAAAGATGGTAACTCAAGGCCACCCAAGCCTGCAGGTTGCAGCCCTAGCCAAAATAAAAGGAGGGAGCTTTGAGTAAAAGCACGCACAGATGAGATCCCCATTAGCCTAGTCTATATCCAAAGTCGGCTTTATAAATGCATTTATGCTCAGAATATAAAAAAGAAAACAGAAGATCATGATAAACACTACAAGTGAGATTTGGTTAGCACAAACGTCATCACAAAGAAAATTTCTTTAGCATAGAGCCTAATATGCTTTCCAATTGATTATCCAAAATAAAGGCTACCTTCAAGGGAACATCCTATAGAAATAGTGCCTTTCTAGACCCTTGTTGCAGTAACCCTAGTGTGCACTAAGGAACATCTTAACACTTGATTGCCTGTTTTTACTATGCAAATTGGAGCAGATACATGGGATCTTTAATTCCACCTAGCCTATATTCTTCTCAACCCTCCGTCACATCAGACAAGAACAGCTACCATGGGCCTCCACAAAATAACCACATCAAAATGCCTCTGTTTGTAAGTACCTCAAAGTAAGCCATCACTCAAAATCTAGGAATTAGGGAGAACTCAGAAAAACAGAAAGCATATAACACTCTTCTTATAACTTCAAACCACCCGAGAGGAGATTCCTGTTTCATTTCTTGCATATTTCAAGTATGATTTCATTTAAAGAAAATTCCTGTTTTTTACTCCAGAATTGATCATAATTGATCAAAAAAACCACATATTTTTTTAAAATATTATGTTATTAATTTTCATAAATATAGTGACAATTCAGAGCTATGCTGCTATTGTAAAAATGTTCCAAGTCTATCCCTCAACATCCAAAATGCCCGCTGCTTCTAGAGCCATCAATCTAGCAACATCTGATATGGGTTTCTCCCTAAGACTGTCAATAAGTTGTTTTTGAGTTTGGGGAATTCTTCACAAAATTTCTAAGAAACAGAATAGTTTCAAGGAAGCATATGAAGTTTACTTTGTAGGTAATTATAGGCAGAGGGTATGTTCTTCATACTTTTTCTTTCAATTTGTATTTCCTTTATTATTTTTTAATGTCAGAAATGATTACATAAGAGAGGAATTGGCTTTTTCCTCTTAGGATTCTTGTAAAGAGCTTCAGTTTTCATAAACCCCTTTACTTACTCCACTGTTTATCCTGATCTATACCCATGCTACAGGACTTTTTCCAAAGGAATTAAATATAAATTATAACTGAAGTAAAAATGAAAAGTGTGTGTTCACTTTATCAAGAAGAAGACAGTTCCTTGGATTTCCATTTCTGTGGCTTTTTTTTGTTTAGTTCTTGAGACTGAACTTGATTTTACATTATCCTCAAATATTTTTCAAAAGTTTCAATGAGTCATTCAAAAAAGCTACTCAACATTATCCTCTAATTTCCTTATATTAGTAAAATCATCCAAAAACTGGACAGTTGGATTACACTTACTATTTAATTTTAAGCACTCCTGTTCCTTTAAAATTAACCTAATAATATAGCAGAAAGTGAGATGCAGAATTTCTTCATTTTGTATGTCAAAGGTTAGTAAAATATGACCCACAGGCCAAGCTTTACTCATCACCTGTTTTTGAAAACAAAGTTTTGTTGAGACAGAGCCATGCTCATCCTCACCTATGGCTGCTTTCTAGCAATAAGGGCAGAGTTGAGTAATTGCTACAGAGATCATTTGGCTTGCAAAACCTAAAATATTTGCTATCTGGCTTTCTTCAGGAAAAAAATTTGCCAACTTCTGTTATGGGCAATGTTCTCTGTCCTCAGAAAATAATTACGACAAAGGGCATTTTCTTTTTTTAACTCAAGATGCTCATTTTTTCAAATTCTGAGTATATACATAACTTCACCTGGTTTGCCACATCTTCATTATTATTAATTACATTATTACATAAAAGGTTCTATACTGCACGATATAATTCTTAAAACCTTACTTACACGACCTCCTGTAGGCTGGCTATATGCTAACATTGACTTCTTTGCTTCCTGTGACATCACCAGCATGGCACATGATGGGACACTGCTTCAAAGAGCCAGATGGCCATATGTAAGAATGGATTCTGTAGGAGTCAAAGGTACGGATAAAAATATTAAAAATTATATGTTGAATAATCCTCCCTTCTTGGAATTTATGATTTACTTTCACACCTGATCATGCCAGAAAAGACAGGAAGACTCACATAGAGAAAGCTTCAAAAGTCAACAGGAATTTTTTTGGATTAATCTTTCCTAAAATCTTCAGACTTCCCCATAATTTAACTCATATCCATGTTGACTGTAGCTACTTCATTTTGGAAGACAAATAATTATACATCATTTAAAATAAATGATAACATTTCATGCAGTTCTCCAGTAAAATGTTTTTCACTTTCCCACAAAACAGCACAAAGCAAATGTGATGTCAAATGTGTTTGTGGACTCGATGTCAAGTTATTGACCAACTAAAAGGAAGATGTTAAAAATAAGTTGCAAACATCTATTCTAAGAGTGAAGTGGCAAAATCTCCACTGAGACACTCAATAGTAGAACACAATACTCTAACATCATATTTTCAAGGGATACGTGATTTTGAAGGGGCTTGAATATGCCACAGATTATAGTATTAGAAAACTTTAAGGTAGCATATTTACTATTAAAAAAAGGTAGTCTAATTTATCTATGCCATTTTAAAAAGTTAAGCATTTTAATTCCGATCTTATAAAATAAAGTAAGAAACATCTTAACCAAAGTTCAGTATGGTCTATAATATAAAGGATATTTATATTAATAATAATAATAAAATTATCTATATAATCTTATTTCTGACTATTACTAATTTTGTAAAAGTTTAATATAATTCTAAGTCCAAAAGTTTAGCCATTCAATATGCATGCTGGCACCTTCCTGAATTATTTATTTAAAAATATTTACTCAAAACTTACTGTGTAAAAAGACCTATACTAGATGCTTTAATAACTGGTTTTAATCCTTAAGGAACTCACCAACCAGTGGGGAAAAAACTGCAAACAACTAACTAATGCTCTTAGTGTTTTAATAGAAGAATGAAGAAGCCCCATATAAGAACAGAGTGTGAGGCAATTAATTCCACAGAGATGAAGAAGATGAGGGAGTTGGAAAGGCTTCAGTGAGCACGTGACATCTGAGCTGGCCTTGAAGAAACGAGTAGTGTTACTCTAGCAAAGAGAGCGTTGCTTGTAAGGCTCAAAATTCAAGAGGGTGGGTGAGGAATGGTATTTTAATAGGATTGTAAATGTGGCTTTCCTCTTGCCCTGGAATTGGTGACCTAATGTTGAGGATAAAGAAGCGTTAAGTTGCCCACATTTTAAAGAGAGTTTTATAGCTAAGTCAGGACATCTGCTCCAGGGCTAACTCAGTGGTAGGCAAATCCTTACAACTTCTACTACCTCCAAACCACCAACTCCACCCCAAGACCCATCCTAAGTCCAAATACAGAAGACTACAATACCAGGAAGGGAAGGGAAAGGCAATGATTAGAATCACCATCCAGGGGCATGATGAGAAGTACTATGGGACTATATACAAGAGAGATTGTGCTATGGACTGAATCGTGTCTCCCCCAAATTCTTACATTGAAGCCCTAACCCCCAGTGTGATGGTATTTGGAGATGGGCTTTTTGGAGGTAATTTGGGTTAAATGAAGTCGTAAGGGTGGGGCCCTCATGATGGGATTAATGCCTTTATAAGAAGAGACACCAGAGAGCTTGCTTTCTTTCTCTCTCTCCACCATGTGAGGATACGGTGAGAAGGCAGCCATCTGCAAGCCAAGAAGAGAGTCCTCACCAGAGAAATGAATTAGCTGGCCCCTTGATCTTGGACTTGGTATGGTATTTTGTTATGTCAGCCTGAGCTGACTAATACAGACTGGCATCTCATCCCCTGGCTGGACATCATATCAGTTCATGGGACTGCTGACTTGCTCTTAAGCCTACCTGACCAAAAAAAAAATAATGGAGAAAAGTATCAGATTTTGTTTCCAGTGTTTGATCTAGCAAAGCTGTGGATCAAAGGTGGCCTCCTTGCAAGGGGACTCAGATAATCAGACCTGGTGAGATGTACCACCAGGGGAGGGAGCTGAGAGGACAGGAAGAAATTAAGCCTAATTACCCACAGAAAGCCAGTAAGGAGGCCACTCACTATAGGTATGTGGTAGAACTCACACACATGTTCTATAGGAAAGCCCAACTTTGGAACCCTTCCACACAGAAGGTATCAGTGGTTACTTACTGTTAACCAGGAAGAGAAGTCACAACCCACAGAGGACGGCCTAGTTAGGTCAGCAGATATCTGGCCCTTTTGCTCTACATCACCCTCTCAATCCCCAACTTCCAGCAGTTAAAACCAGAAGGAGCCTGGAAGGCATGAAAATGTAGACCACACCCTCTTCACCCTACTGGTCCCACAGGTCTAACTTGAACTAGAAGAACACAAGGAGGTGAGACTGGGATTTTAAACGGACTAGACAATTAAATCATTGGAAGGGACCAAAATGCTATAAAATCTGACACTTTTGCAAACGGATAATTGCAAATGGATTATGAGGGGAGTGGTTCCAGAAACATTTCAGAGGTAGCATAAATAGGTCTTAGATACCATCTGTTATGGAGGAAAAGGGAAGAGTCAATGATTGTTCAGAAAAGATTAAAATATTTTGGATCCATTTAATGCAAATTCCTATTCCGCTATTTTCTCCCACTCTCTAACAATATCTTTTCTAGTTTATTCCCTTTTAAATTCCCTTTTTAACAATTTCTCACATGATCCATTACTATTATATAACAATAAGAATAACAAGAATCTTTATGAAGCTTTGTGTTAAACGAAAAGATTAAGGTTTTTGAGGAAAATATTTGTTCAATTTAAAAGTTGATCTTAGACACAGCCATCAATCTTGACTTTTTTTTTCTTTTTTGCTTTCTTCTCTGCATCATGTTCATGCATCCTTACTCCTGTTTTTACTTCTCACTTCACCATCTCCTCTCCATTATCTCATAAGAACTTTTTTTTATTTTTTGGTGAGGAAGATTGGCCCTCAGCTAATATCTGTGCCAATCTTCCTCTATTTTTTGTATATGGGACGTCACCACAGCATGGCTTGATGAGCAATGTGTAGGTCAGCGCCTGGGATCCAAACCCATGAAACCCAGGCCGCCAAAGCAGAGCACAAGAACTTAACCACTATGCCACAAGGCCAGCCCCCATCTCATAAGAACATTTTCTTTGATATTTTTCTTGGATGTCTTTTCCATCCTTTCTACAAACCTTCATCAGCTCTATCAGGCACACCTAGGACAGGCCCATCCCTTGAGCCTTTTTCCCTTCTTCAACCGGAAAACAAGTTTCCTTGATAGCTGTCAGAACTGATGAATTCTAAAGGAGGCATGAGAATGAATTTAGCAAATTTGCTAAAAGGCACAGGAGGGGCACTGGGACCCATCTGATTCTCAAATGGAAGGCCCCAGAGAAACTGCTAAGGCTTTTTGGCTACACCCGTTTATCCCTGAGCTTCAAAAGGGAAAATGAAGAAGAGCACCTAAGACTGTGGTTTAAAGCTAGTTGGACTCCTGTCTTTCAAATCCCATGCCAGTCGAATCCTTCAGTTATTAGCAATATGGGCTAATGTTTCTAGGAAGATATCAGGCTAGCTTCTTCAAGAAACACCTAATAAGAGGTAACCAAAATATTTTAAAAAATCAAAAAACTACAACTCAGCTCTTACGCCATTTTGCCCCAAGAATCTGGCAAGTTAAGCGACAGACTCTTGAATGTGCTGTAAAAATGCACATTCTCGGTAACCACACAGCAGTAGCAACAGAAGATTAGGGCTGACTTATCCAGATCATTGGCCTCTATGTGGCCAAACACATGTTTGGGAAAACTTGTCTCTCACCTTGGAATTTATTTAGTACATATTTAAATGGAACTAGAAAAAAAGAATGCTAAATACTCCAAAGAACTTCCAGCTTGGCATCCATATTTCACAGGGAAAGAAACTGGGTCCCACAGAGACCAAGTGACTTGCTCTGGCCAGCGAGGTTATCTAGGAATTGACACGCATTTCCATAAAAGATGTGAAGATGCTATTCAGAGTTGTAGTGAATACTGAGGCACTCATTATCCCAGCTGGCAGCTCAGAGCTGAGTCTCTTTCCAGAAATGCCCTCAGTGCAAGAGAGCCATCTATCACAAGGTCACAACCCTCCTGGGGGCCTGGCCTCCTTCCCTGGAGGTGGAGCATCCCTGAAGGGCCATCACAGCTCCAGAGCACTCCCCAGGGGACTGATTGGCTGAGGTCTCTGCTGCAACTGCATCACAGCTGAACATCATCCTCTACCCTCTCTACCATCCTACTTCTATCACCCCTCACTTCCATCAAGTGTTGTTCCTGAGAAGCTGCCTGAGTAAGCCTTCTGCATATACATTTCTACTTCAGAGTCCACTTCCCAGGGAGCCCAACCTACAAAAGTAGTATATGCTATTACTTGAGAAAATGTAAGTTTGGGAAACACTTGGATTAAACTGACAATATGCACTATGAACCTCCAATGAATACTCAGAGTTATCCAAAGTTATTTAGCCACAGAAACCCCTTTTTATATTGAACATCTCCTGAGACTTGTATTCTGTGGAATATGCTCTGGGAAGCACGTATGCAGTCCACTCTAGCTCACATTAGAATATAACTGCTCAACTTACTCACGTCAACATTTCCTGTAATAGCAAAAGAACAGAAATAACTTAAATAGCTGTCAACGGGAGACTGCTTAAATAAATTATGATTTGTCCATATAATAGAATATTATGCACCTATAGAAAAAAAATGAGTTCTTTAAGTATTTGTATGAAAATGTATCCAAAGTATATTTTTTAAGTGAAAAAACAAGATTACTCAACAGTATGTATGTGTTTTGAAAAAGGGGAAGGATTAAATATGTGTGTATATTTTCTTGGGTGTACACAAAATATTTGTAAAGGCATACACTAGAAAATGACAGCACTAGCTGCTTCTATAGAA